ATCCACCAGGGAAGTCCTCAGCTCCTTTTTGTATGCTTGTATTTCCTTTTCTGTGAAATGCCTTGCTTAGGCCTTTAGCATTTTTTTTCTATTACACTGTATTTTAATTTGTAAGAGTTTTTCACTTAATTTACTTATCTTTAATTAAAATACAGTTGATTTACAATATATTAGTTTCAGGTTTACAGCATAGTAATTCAGTATTTTAATAGACTGCACTCCATTTAAAGTTATTACAACAAAGGATTACTCTCCAAAATATACAAGCAGCTCATTCAATCAAAAGGTGGGCAGAAGACCTGAACAGACATTTCTCCAAAGACATACAAATGGCTAACAAACACATGAAAAGATGCTCAATATCACTTATTATTAGAGAAATGCAAATCTAAACTACAGTGGTGTCACCTCGCACTGGTCAGAATGGTCATCATCAAAAAATCTACAAACAATAAATGCTGGAGAGGGTGTGAAATAAAGGCAACCCTCTTGAACTGCTGGTGGGAATGTAAATTGACATAGCCACTATAGAGAACACAATAGAGATTCCTTAAGAAACCAGGAATAAAACTACCATATGATCCAACAATCCCACTACTAGGCATATACCCTGAGGATACCATAAATGAAAAAGACATATGTACCCCAACGTTCACTGCAGCACTATTTACAATAGCTAGGACATGGAAGCAACCTAGATGTCCATCAACAGATGAATGAATTAAGAGGTTGTGATGCTTATATACAATGGAATATTACTTAGCCATAAAAAGGAACACATTTGAGTCAGTTCTAATCAGGTAGATGAACCTATTATACAGTGTGAATTAATTTAGAGAAACAAATATCTATAAAGGCATATATATGGAATCTAGAAAGATGATACTGATGAACCTATTTGGAAGGCAGCAATGGAGATGCAGACAGAGAACAGACTTGTGGACCCTGTGGGGGAAGGAGAGGGAAGTACAAATTGACAGAGTAACAGTGAAACAAATATATTACCACATGTAAAATAGCCATGGGAATTTGCATATGATGCAGGGATCTCAAACCTAGTGTTCTGTGACAACCTAGAGTGGTGGGATGGGATGAGAGGTGGAAAGTAGGTTCAAGAGGGAGCAGACATATGTACACCTATGACTGACTCATGTCAATGTATACTAGAACACAATACTGTAATTATCTTCCAATTAAAAGTATAATTAAAAAACCATAAAAAAGTAATTACAAAATAATGGCTATACTTCCCTGTTGTATAATATATCCTTGTTGCTTATTTGTTTTATACATAGTAGTCTTTATCTCTTAATTCCCTGCCCCTATCTTGCCCCTCTTTTCTTCCCTCTCTCCACTGGCAACACTAGATTTGTTCTCTATATCTGAATCTGTTTGTTTTGTCATATTCATTATTTTTTAGATTCCACATTAGGTAGAATATTTGTCTTTGATATATCATTTTTCATGTAGTTTAAATATGTGATTCTCAAATGGAGGAGAAATTGCCCCTTAGGAAACATTTGGCAATGTCTGGAGACATTTTTAACAGTCACACAACTTGACAGGGGAAGCATGTAATAGGTTGAGATCAGAGATGATGCTAAAACATCCTATAAAGCACAGCCTCCACAGTAAAGAACTATCAGGCCCAATATGTTAATCATGTCAAACTAGAGATGTGTCCTAGATGCCAATATGTTATCAATTGTATGTGTTGTAAATATTTTTCCCATCCCAGTTTGTTGGTATCTTCATTTTTCCTGTGGTACTTTTTGATGATAAGAAATTCTTAATTTTAATATATTTAAGCTATCGATCTTTTCTTTTATGGACTATGCTTTTGTCTTTGATTTAAGAAAGTTCTCCAGGCTTTAAGGATAGAGATGTTCCAATGAAATGTTCCATAAGTTTTAAATTTTGCTTTTCTATATTTAAGCCTTTGATTACATTTGTTTATAACCTACGAGTCCAAAATTAACTTTTATATGAAGAAATGAGGACTATTTATTTAAAATCCATCTTATCCCCACTGGGTTACAATGCTGTCAAAACTGAAGTTTGCAAAAATAGGCTTATTTCTAGTTGTCTATTTTTATCTTTTTATCTGGAGGCTAAAGTTGTTTTTACTTTCTAATAAAAGAAAAATTGAATCCCAAGAGTTTAAGGTTTTCACGAATTTCATGAAAGTAGATTTTAGAAGCTTTTTTAAAAGGTGTTTCTCTGTCTTTTCTAGAGATACAAAAAGAAGGGAATTTGATGTTATTTTGAATACCAAGACCAAATACTTCTCAAATTATTATAAAATGAACTCATTAATTTCACTGAAAGTTGTTTCACTTCTTCACAAACTACACTGCCTACAGTATACATTTCACAAAGGTTGGAAACCCATTTATTGTCTGGCAAAATGAGAGCCTTTCCTCAAATATTTTTTAACATCTATATTTAACCTTGTACATCATCCAACTCTTTTATCTAGGGGTTGTAACAGAAATATCCATTTTCTTTCCTCCATAGTAAGAAAGACCATTTCCTCACTGCTGAGAAGCTGGCTCTTAAGGACATTCCCGACCAGATCATTCCTGGAAAGGAATCCATCGCTCAAAGAACATTCACACCTGTCAATCAACCTCAGCCATCATCTTTCAAATTCAGAGCAACTGGAGAGCTCTGTGGCAATTCAGAGCTCTCAAATTCAGAGCCAGTGGCAAAACTATTCACAGGGTGAAGCAGAGATGAAATATACGTAAACATCTTTGTTTCCTTTTCTCTTTTCTAACATTTCCCCTTTCATTCTCATTTAGCCCACACAAGCTCCAAACTAGTATTCAATAACACTGAAGTGGGATCATTTTATTAAAAGAAACTATACCTTGGAATTGAGGTAGGTCAGAAGCAGAAATATAAATACACGGATTCAGAAAATAATTCAGCATTGGGACAAAAACTCTTCCAGGAAAGGAACATTTTTTCAATTTTTTCCTTTGGGAAAATACTCTGGAAATGATTCCCTTTTTAAACAAGTATTTGCTACTGCTTGTTATTCTGTTTTTCTTGAATATTCTTGAAATGATTATCAACTAATAACGCAATTAATCTGGAGCTTCAAGTATAGGTTTAAGGGAAAATGAGAAGGGGTTTTCTGTAGTGACAGCACTTTCCATGATACCTACTTTTGATATCTGATCACCATAAAGATTGACAACTCATGGCAAAGCAATGATGTACAGTGGTCATTAAACACTCTGGTTGGACAGGGTGTCTCTAGCTGATTACCATGTCTGGGATCAGGTGGCAGTTAAACCCAAGGGAGCTAAAAGGATTTACCACACATACAGCTCTCAGATTCTATCAAATTTGTTACATCTGGAGCACTGTTTAGAACCATGTAGCAGAAAGACGTTTACTCAAAACTCAAAAGAGACCTCTATTTACCAAATGGCTGTACATACCTCTTTCAGATAGAGGAGTATAGATCTCTGGTGGTCTTATAAGGAAATTTTCATAAACAAGATTTGTAAGTTTCCAGCTCATTTAAACACATTAAATAAGCAATTTCCTAAAAATTGCAAAGGCAAATAGGAGCTGCTCTAGGAGCAATGTAGAAGTATTCAATGCTGCAAGTAAACTGGACTGAGAAATCAGTTTGTTTTGCAGGGACATCGTCCCCTCCAAGGTGAGGCCAGGAACACAGGATTATACAAGAGGGGAAAAAAAGACAAAGCCAAAAGCATAAAAAGTCCTAGAACCATCAGACATAAACACACAGCCTGTTTTATGTGGAAGATTACGACCACGCTGCGAGTTTTTACTTGCCAGGCAAAGGGGACCCCCTGAATCTCCAGTTGAAGGAAGTAGCAGCAGTCATGGTCCATGCTCCTGAGAATAATCGGGTCTTCCATGGGAGCTGCACCTGATCTGTACCTGTTTACTTTTGCCTCAAACTGCTCACATGCAGACTAGGAAGGCCTGCAGCTGAAACATCACAATCACATGGACAACAATGCCAGGAGAACAGGAAAGGCCACCATCCACATAAAATTCACACTGAAGGTGCTGCCCAAGGGCTTAGACCAGGGCAACGATATAAGCTGTGAGCCCTAAAAGAGATCCTTCCCTACCCAGCCTCCACACAGATCTGGAACAGCCAAGTGGTACATGTGAATGTGAAGTAGGGTTTAGCAGTTACCATTTCCACTAAATTATTGAAAATAAATTGAGGGCACCCTAGCTCTTTATATACCATCATATATATCCGGCTCAAGCTTAAAACACTATGAAATTTTAGTCTGAACGTCAGAAAATCTAAAATGGGACAACGCGGCGATTCTTGCTCCCCACGCCCAGGTCAGTGTCAGGGTACCTCCCCGATCATCAGTGAACACAAGTTCTGGTCCATTTGGTTAACTTCAGACGTCGGCCCACTCCATCGAGTCTGTCTTCCCTTTTCTTCAGGAGGAAACATTTTTCGAGTCACTGGACTTGGAAACGACTCCACCGTGAGGTGAGACACCCTCTATTACTTGTTCCCTAAGACAGGTTCCCAAAACAGGGAGTAGCTTTAACTCGTCTGTGAGGACTCTAGAGCCGGCGGTGAGTCCGAAAAATGAGGAGGTTTTGACCGCTGACGTCGGAGACTTGTGAAAGCAAGGTCCCATCTCCTCAACCCACTTCCGGGCCGCAGACCGCCCGACCGACGTACAAGCTGACCGTTAGGCGAGGGCGGGGCCGGGGTCACGTGGCCTGCGCGGGGTCAGAGCCCGGCGTACGCGGGAGCACGCAAAGCGGCTCGGGCCGCGGCCGCGCGCCTGGCGTGCGCGCGCAGGCCGGGGGCGGGGCGTGTGGGCTGAGCCTCAGGCGCGCGGCGGGGCGGAGGCGGGGCTCGAGCGGGGTGGAGGGCGGAGGCGGGGCATCCTCCTTCACCTCCTCCTCCCCCTCCGGCGAGGCTGGGCCGGCGGCGGCGGCGGGAGGCGGGTGACCCGCGGAGGGGCGTCTCGGCCATGACTGCGGAGCTGCAGCAGGACGACGCGGCCGGAGCGACCGACCGCCACGGCTCGGTGGGCCTCGCGGCGGCGGGCGCGGACCAGGGGGCGGGCTCCGGGTCCCACGGGGTAGGGGTGCGGGGCCCAGGCTGGAGCGGCGCGGGGCGCGGGCGGGCGGGCCTGCGGAGATGGGGCGCGGGGCTGCGGAGGGCGCCCGGGCCCGGCGGGGGCGAAGGCAGCGCGCCGGCCGGGGTGAGCACCCGGGCTCCGGGAGGAAGCTGAAGTCTCTGCAAGGCTCGCTCGCAGAGATTGAGGACTCTTCTTGGGGTCCGGAGACGGGCTGAAGTTCGAGGGAGGTTAGCTAATTTGGGATATCAAAAATAAAGGACTGGACGTGGGCTACTGTCTGCATCAGGGATCTCTAAAGAGAGCGCTCCTGGCCCCCGACCAGGGGTTTGAAACTTCGGAAAGGGGCAGCTTTGCTGGATTGTGGGTTTTTTTGTTTGTTTGTTTTTGTTTTCGAATCTGTTTTAGGGCAGTGCTGTTTTAAGAGTCTAAAGCAGACCGAAGTTATCTAAGTTAAAGCGAGAATTTTATCTACACCGTGTGAAAGACCAAGGGTCCTTGTTACCACTTACTACCTTCCACCCCCCCCCCCATATTTTTAAGCAGAAAGCAGCCTCCCCAGTTACTGCATTCATCACTGTAGATTTTTAAGGAAAGGGGAGGAGCACCGTGATGAATAGAAAGTATGCTAATAATGCTTTCCTAGTTCTAGTATCTAATAAGATTGAAATCAATACAGGGATTTCTGGGCTAAGAAGGTGAGAGGAAAAGAACACTGGTTTGAGAGAAAAAAAGGCTAATGTCTGTTCCAAAAAAAAAACCTTGGGAAGTGGGCAATTTGAGAATGTCTTCTAATGTTACTTTGGAATGTTCTAACTTAACACTACCCTGTCACCCCTCAAGTGGTGCGCTTTTTCAAGACAGAATGGGGAACCTGTACCAAGTATTTAAATGCGAGTTTGGAAGTGAGGAATTTCATAAACTATTTATCTATTTACAGTACAGAGCTATCAGATACCTCCACGTGAGAAACCTTTTACGCCCTTTTTTTACCCCCCTCTTCGGACACTCAAGAGACCAATAAAGTGACCGCACTTCCTTTTTAAATTCCTGTAGTAAAAGATACCTTCAGGTCCTGGGCTCCAAAATGAAAGTAGGCAAATGGTGTTTCATGTGCTGATTTTTAATAGAAATATTGTTAGGTGTTTACAAATGACGCTTGGAATGTGAGTCAGGAATCGTTTCACAGATCAGTTCTGTTTCTTCAAAGGACAGTGACTTAAAAGCAGGTGGGAAAATCTTAGTTTTGAGATTGTCATGTTGATTTAGAGAAGAGACTATTTTAAGGGAGAGCAAGTCATATTTAAATTTGTTGGTTGAGACCATGTGTCTTTTGGTCAGCGGCAACTGCATTTACCTCAGTTTGAGGGATGACCACTTTCTCAGCCTTCTCGGTTTAAGCTCTCATGCTCATGTGTGAGGTGTTTGATGAACACTTGTATATAAGTCATAGCTATTTTTGGAAAGCTTTGGAACTCCAGTGGCTGTGGCTGGCTGGAGGACCTTATTCCTGGCAACCTGCAGAGTGATGACATTTACTGTTCTTCCCAGCGATTCGCCCCATACAGACAGATGATAAGCTTGGAATGCTTGATAATGTTTGCCCTTTTGTTTTTTTCTAATGTAAAATGCCTGAAGTTAGCTGGCTAGAGTGAAGGAGTCTATATGGGGAGTACTTTTCCCATCTCAGAGGAAAGATTTTGGTATTTTCTTCTTCATCTTAAGTTTCATGTTAGAATGAACTCTAAATTCTCTGAAGCAATTCTTCATTGCCCTTAAAGGATCTTGAATTGTTCTAATTGAGGGGAGCGCTCCTCCCCTGACACTCAGCAGCTATTTAAAACTTAGAGTGCTTCCTTTCCCTTATTGGTCAGCGAACAGGCAGAATCTGTTATAGCCCTGAAGAACTTGAGTCAGACGAAAACGCAGTACTCTTGAAATCTGTTCTTAGTCTGCACTTGAGTCTAAAAGAGGATAGGTACCATTTAAATTCCAGCTTCCCAGGTGGCGCTAGTGGTAAAGAATCCACCTGCTAATGCAGGAGACCTGAGAGATGCAGGTTCAATCCCTGGGTTGGGAAAATTCCCTGGAGGAGGGCATGGCAGCCCACTCCAGTATTCTTGCCTGGAGAAATCTCATGAACAGAGGAGCCTGGTGGGCTACAGTCCATGGGATCGCAAAGAGTCGGACGAGACTGAAGCGACTTAGCTTGTACCATTTAAATCACTTCTTAGATGAAAACCCAGCAGCAGTGTTTACTGTTAATGTAGTGCTCTCGGAGGGAGAGCATTGAGCAGTCCTAAAAAGAGATCTTGGTTCTCTGCTCAGGAGTTAAACCTGGGTAACCTAGATGAAAACCAAGAGTCCTAGCCACTGGACCACCAAGGGCTAGAGGCTAGGGGCAAAGTGGCCCTGGCTCTTGTCCCGCTTTGAAGCAAGAATATTTCAAGGAGGCAAAAATATAAAAACAGATACAAAGTTTATTATTCGAGACACAGCAGATATATGGGAGAGCACACAGGAAAATAGTTTATCCAACTCAGAATCAGGGCAGAAATACACACCCTGACGGGGTATGGGCATCCTCTCTGATGAGGAGTGGTGCAGTAAGTCAGAAGCCAGGCAGACACACACACCCGGAGAGGAGTGCAGGCGTTTAGAGACACACCCAGAGAGATGTGTGGCTGTCCTGGATGAGGAGGAGTGAGAAGGTGATGTAAATCATTTATATAGGACAGTCCATCCCGGGCTTTGTTTACCTTTGACCCATTATCTTGTTTCTCTCTTCTTGCCTGACTGGCCCATGGATCCTCCCCAAGATGCACGTGCAACTTTTTGCTGAGACGGTTCCCACTGTAGCGGCCTGTGGGTGCATGTCCACACTTATTAGGGAGTGGGGTCCCCTCCCTTTTCAACTCCCCAAAACATTCCTTCACATGTGCAGACAGGGAAGTCTTCCTTGACCTCAGGAGTGGGCACCTTATCTCTTTGCTTTAGCAGAGCTCAGCTTTTACCACTAGCTTTGTCCTTAGAGTGTCTGGTTGAGAACAAAGGCTTAGTTTTACTCCACTTGACAACCACCAGGTGTCCGGCCCGGAGACCCATTTTCTCCTACCCTAGTAGGACAAGCAATTTGAAGTCAGATTGGCTCTTACAAACCTGCCAACCTTCGCAGCTGTACCGAGGCTCATCATACATCCTGCTAATGGAAGCCCTATGAAAACCTGTTTCTGAGAAAATTTAGTGCCTTCTTCTGATGTATTGGTTTTATACACTCTCTTATCTTGTCTCATGTCTTGTAATTTTTGGAACATCAGTAAGTGAGTGCTTGGTTCGCATCCACAACTCTCATGCCTCCAGCTTCAGACAGTTCCTACTCACACAGTACTTTTAGAAAATTTATAAAACACATTGACAAGTAACACCTCACCAGGCAAGATCTTGCCATGTGTTTTCTTTCATCAAAGAAATTTAAAGCAATAGCCAAGTGAAACATATTTTTCAAGGAGAATAATGATGCTGATAGTAGTAGTAGATAACCTTGACTGACCATGTACTATATGCCAGACTGTGCTTACAACTTAACATATTATCTCAGTACTTAGGACAACTTCAGGAAGTTTTCTTATTTCTTGTTAAATAATTTACACAAGGTTACTTACCTAGTAAAGGGTACAGCCAGGGTTTAACCCAGGGATTTCTAACTCCCAAGAGCTCAAGAAATCTCTGATCCTACTTCTTTGTTGATGGACCCATAGTTTTGGGTCAGAACCTATTACTCTGTAGAACTCTCTTCTTTCTCAATAGATTACCTTCCTTTCTACTTGGTTGAGCTAACTGATACCTAAAGAGCGCTCTGTCTCATGCTTGGGATCCTCCCCCCTTCAGAATCTTTTTTCTCTTAGTGGAAGATGTACTCTTCCCTTCTCCCGTCTTTTAGAGATGAATCTAAATCAGTGGTGTCTAGAAACCTTTTTGATTGTGACTCCTAGGGAAGAATACGCTTGTCATCTAGTGGGTGGAAGCCAAGAATGCTGCTAAATATCCTGCAGTGTATAGAGAGCCCCCCCTTCCCCAAAACAAGAAGTTGTCTGGCCCAAAATGTCAATGGAGCTTAAGAAACCCTGGTTTAGATGATGTTTCTCCTCATTTGCCTAAGTTTTCTTTCATCTTCCTTATCCCAGCCTAACTCCCAGGTACCTTCACTGCCTTCTGCTCCCTTGAGACTCAGGATATGGTCCATGGACCAGTAGCATCCATATCATCCAAGAGTTTGTTAGAAATGTAGAAATTTGGATGTGCTGCAGCCAGCTTGTACTTGTACTACCTCTCCAGGTGACTGTATACATTTCTTCCCAACTATCTGTTCAATGACCTCATGTTAGTAGCTTGAAATCTTCATCGAAATATTTTTATTAAGGCAATAAATCGGCTGGACAAACCATCATACCACTGTTTGGGCCTCTACCCTAGACCTGCAGAATCAGAATCGCCTTTTGACAAGATCCCTGGGTGATAAACTTTGAGAAAGTGATCAATTTTCTGCTCCAAAGGATTGCCATATTCCCTTCAGCTATGCACACTTCTCCTCAATCCTCAAACAAAATAGCAACAATAGCAAAATTGTCTCTGCCTTGTTCTTTAATCTTGTTTGCTGTCTTTCCTTTCATTTTGTTTACTTTCTTCCAAGTCCACCTGTTTCCTCTCTAAAACAGTTTTCCAGTTACAATGTAATTCCAGCTCATTGTGGAAAATTTGAAAAACACAGACCCAGGCAAGGTTTAGCTCTTGGCTGGTAGGAGGCCCCCCGGTCCTCAGGCAGAAGTGAGTTGGTTCCCAGGTTTTACTTGAGGTGCAGCAGCAACTTTGCAAAAACCCAGTTAGGAGGTGACTCTGGGGATCACTTAGGCTCCAGCAAGATGAGGGCTGGTTGCCCACAGGCCTGCAGA